GTCAAAGTTCCCTTCATCAGATACTCTTGTTCATCTGTAAGGTGCTACTGCACTTGAATCAAGCGTATCTTAAAAGAGAATCCCCTTAAAAGTGCTAATAGCAGAGTGAGGGGTCCAGTGTTGAATGGCAATGGAGGTGAAGGGTTAAATCCCTTTCCCCTTCTCTGCACAGCCCCAAGGCCAAATGAGGCTGCAAACTGCACTGAGGGACTGACCAAGATGCATGACATTAATCTCATCTATGAGCCAGAAACCTTAAGTCATCTCATTTTCAGGATGGCAGTGGTTAGGATCCAGGGCTCTTTTTGTAGAAAAAGCCCAGCAGGAACTCATTAGCATAATAGGCCACCCCCAACAGCACAAACTCATTAGCATATTAGACCACAACCCTGACAGCACAGCTCATTAGCACATTAGGTCGCACCCCCATGCTACCAGAAGTGTGGTCATCCAGCCACACCCACCTTTTGCTTCTTATTCTGTTGACCTTGTTTGTTGTCAAAACCCAGGGCTTTTTTTGGGGGGGGGAGCAGGAACTCCTTTACATGTTAGGCCACACACCCCCTAATGTAGCCAATCCTAATGAGTTTCTGCTGTTGGGTGTGGCCTATTATGCTAATGAGTTCCTCCTGGGTGTGGCCAACTCAGGAGCCAGCCGGAACTCCGTTCCTGTGCGTTCCTGCCCCAAAATAGCCCTGTTAGGATCCAAAACTGAACTGTCAACTGTACCTCAATCTGCACCCTTTTCTATCACTTTAAGATCATAGTTCAATAGCCAGTTAACTTGATCCTACTTTTGGCAATGCTTTACTGTTTGATCTAACAATCTAAGTACTTTTAGGATCAGTTCCAACCTTGTCTCCACTGCAGAGAGGCTTCTTCTGCTTGTCTGGAATTCTAAAAGGGAAAGGAGAGTATCACCTGCCAGCATTCTGAAAAGGCAGGAGAGGATCCTAGCCATACCTGGTACCAGCAGGGGTAATTTCCTGCAGGAGCGCACAGGAGTGGAGCTCCGGCAGTAAAGAGCCCAGGGGGTGGGCACATGCAATAAGCCCCACCCCCTGCTCCCAGCAGCCCTCAGTCAGAGCAAGAAGCAGCCAGGTAAGATGCAGAGCTCCCCCCTGGCCCCCTGATCCAAAACAGTCCAGTGGCACCTTTAAGACCAAGTTTTATTCAGGTACAAGCTCTCCCTCCTCTGCGAGGACAGATCTGCACGTCCCCCCCCCAATAGCTAGCAATCCAAAACAGTCCAGTGGAGCCTGAGCGGTGGGTGTTGCCTTCTGACCTACGTCCGGTGATGTCAGGGGGTGTGGCGTATGGAAATAAGTTATGCTGATGAGTTATGCTAATGAGCTCCTGCACCTCTTTTTCTACAAAATGACCCCTGGCGTACCAGTCTTCCCCAGAAGATTCTTCTGGCCTATTAGGGATGCATCATAACACTCCTGCCCCAATATCATCTCAGCCTATTCAGCAGCTGCAGCGGTCTTTTTAAAGGAATCCCTTGGTCAATTTGCTCCAGCAGCAACTGATCTTGCCTAGCCAGGCAAAGGTGGCTGCAGCCGAAGAAAATGATAAGTGGTCTCTTTGCTGTGGATAGAGACAAATGCAGTTGTTTCTCATCGTCTTTCTGTTCCTCTGAAAATCTGCAGAATGGTGAGTGGAGCTGTCAGTGGCTGGCACTGCATGGCGCTGGGACCTAGCAATAGATTGCCAGCCTGCAGGTAGAGCGTGGAGATTTCCAAAAATTATAACGGATCTTCAGACTGTATAGAGATCAGTTCCCCTGGGGAACCTGGCTATGTTCAAAGGTATACTTGAGGGCATCACATCCAGTGTTCCCTCTAAGCTGAATTAGAGTGAGCTAGCTCACAGTTTTTTAGCCTCCGGCTCACACGTTTCTGTCTTTGCTCAGGAAGGATGGCTCCAGAGCAAACTAATTTATTCCGTAGCCAAGTCGCTTGCTCACAACTTTAATGCCATCAGCTCACAAAGTAGAATTTTTGCTCACAAGACTCCACAGCTTACAGGGAGCATTGACTTCCCTCCCCTCCCCAAACCATGCCCTCTTCAAGTTCCATCCCCAGAGCTCCAGGAATTGTCCAACCTGGTGTTGGCACCCCTAGCAGTGATGGAACCAGTGGGGCCACGAGATGGAGAGCAGGGACGCAGAGACAGAGGTGAGGGTCTAAAGGCAGAGAATACAGAAAACGCTAATTCGCGTCAGCTGCACGGTTCTCTCTTCATCTTCAGCAACCTG